CAGCCCTGTTTATTTTACCTCAATTTGTCTGTCACTAATTTGCATTGATGATTTTTCAATATTCTGTGTAAAACAGTCATGTCAATTAGGTACTTGGGATGAAATTGGGATGAATATGAGAAGTGAGTTGCAGATAGGAAGAACATGACCTTCAGGTAACCCTCTTTCCCGGTTTCTTTAGGAATCATTGTCATGGCACTGCTGGGGATGTTCAATGTCCATCGTCATGGTGCCATAAACTCGGCAGCGATTGTTTTGTACGCTCTGACCAGCTGTGTGTCAGGTTACTGTTCCTGCAGCTTCTACACACAGATCCAGGGACAGCGCTGGGTCTGGAACATTATCCTCACCTCTGCGCTCTTCTCTGGTGAGACACAACAATCTTCTGTATTTATATACATCTAGATGGTTTATGCAACAGGAGCACACCGTGTGGGGTATTGTTTCCCACAATGCAATGTGCTCAACATGATTTTCAAATTCCAGTGTGTTTTATTTTAGATGTTAATCTCAACATACATATTACCTGTCACAATTACAGTGTTTTCATCAGCAAATGTAACTGACATTTCGCCCACTCACCATTGCTCTCTTTGTTCTTCTCTTCTATATTTCACTCGCTCTGATTCGTACAGCCCCCCTCTTCTTCACCTGGAGTGTGGTGAACTCCGTTCACTGGTGGAGCGGATCGACCCAGGCCCTGCCGGCCACCACCGTGCTTCTACTGCTTGGCGCCTGGGTGCTGGTGGGCTTCCCTCTCACCGTCATTGGTGGGATTGTTGGAAAGAACAGAGCTGGCAACTTCCAGGCGCCGTGTCGCACTCGTAACATAGCTCGCCAGATCCCCCAGCAGCCCTGGTACAAACACACGGCTGTGCACATGGCCATCGGCGGCTTCCTGCCTTTCAGGTAAGAGCAGTGAGTCTTAGCAGATGATTTCCAGACAGTAGAAGAAACAAAGAAAACTTAAAGGAAACATTTTTAAATTGTATTACAGTAGTGGCCAAAAGTAATTTCTGGATGTTTTTGCATGTGTTCATAATTTCTTTGACAGCCTGGCCAAAAATTATGTCCACACAATTTGGCATGCTTCATTTCGTTATTGTCACAGATAAACTACAAGAACAACCACGCAATATGCTTACAAAATTGTTAAAAATTTTGTATAGTTTTTGAATGGGTATATTTGGGTATGAAGGGGAATATTTGAATACAAATGTAAATTTTCCATCCCTTTTGATGACCATTTTGAATATAATAGAATATTTATCATCATTTTATATATAATACATAATATAAGAACACGTTTAAAAACATGTTTTCTTGCATAATATATATTAATATAAAATCCCTTGTAAAAATATAATATATATTATATAAGAAAACATTTTTAAATACATTGTTATAGTGTGTGTGTGTGTGTGTGTGTGTATACATATAAAATATATTATTAGAATGTATTATTATAGAATGGAATAAGCATTTATAACATTTAAAAATCCTTTCATATTTAATAAATATATTATATAAGAAAAATATATATATATATATATTATTTACGAAAACATGTTAACATATATCAAATTCAAAAATATTTATATATATAAGAAAACATTCAAAAAATATTTTGTTATACAAATAAGAAATCATTTTAATATAATATTTGAAAGTGTTTCTTATATAATATATTCTATTATATATATAAATATATATATATATATAATGTATATGTCATGTTAAAAAACATGAATGTTTTCACTCATCCATAAACATTATTAGATCCATCAGCATGACAGCAAGTCCCATCATTCCGCTTATCACTGCGTCATCAACCTACGCCTTTGTTATTGTATGAGGTTAGCGACCCCTAGCGGCGGAAAAAAGTATTACATATTGTAGCTCTAATATAATATTTGAAAATGTTTCTTATATAATAAAAATATTATAATAAAATATAAATAATTATGTATGAAAACTTGCTAATATAATATATTTTAAAAAGATTTTTTTTAAATCATATAAGAAAACATTTTAATATAATTAAATCACTTTCATATTTTATATATATATTTTTATATTATATTATATCTTTATCTCCTTTCTCCTCTTGACTTTGCAGTGCCATCTCAGTAGAACTGTACTACATCTTTGCCACTGCGTGGGGTCGTGAACACTACACACTCTACGGCATCCTGTTGTGCGTGTTTGCCATCCTGCTCTCGGTGGGCGCCTGCATCTCTGTGGCCCTCACCTACTTCCTGCTCTCAGGCGAGGACTACCGCTGGTGGTGGAGAAGTGTTCTTAGCACCGGCTCCACTGGCATCTTTATATTCCTTTACTCTCTCTTTTACTACCACAATCGCTCCAACATGAGCGGCCTTGTACAGAGCGTCGAATTCTTCGGATATTCTTTGCTCACTGCGTTTGTTTTCTCGCTCATGCTGGGAACAGTCTCCTTCTGGGCATCTCTGGCTTTTATTCGTTACATCTACCGTAGCCTTAAGATGGACTGAGGGCCGTTTCCTCTCAAAATGCCCCCCTCCCCCTTCAAATGGGGAAAGAGACTCATGGAGCAGTTCCTCGTGGATCCCTGCATGAGCAGGTTTTGTGTTGCTGAAGTATATTAAACTATCAATGCCAATCTTAAAAGGAATAGGGAACAGACAAAGCGACTGACTAAAGACTAAAGACTAATTTAATATTCCATTTTGCTCACCAACACCCTGATACTTAAAATTCACATAGATATATAGTTGCTAGATTATCTGCACATCAAATACAGAAGTATTTGAGAGTCAGCTGGATCGTTTGTGCTGCTGAAAGGGTCAGATTTTCATACTTCAAAATGTTGCTTACCATGTATCAAAGACTTGAAAGTTGTAAAGTCTGTTTTGGATTTTGTCAATGTAGTGACTACAATGATTAAATGTCAGTTTCAAGACATAAGGGGACAAGAATAAGAGGCCTTCATACTTTGTTTCAGAAGACCATTGAGAAGATAAAGCACTTATATGTACTGTAGGTGAGTTTACTTGATTAAAGGGGGATGTGTGGTTATATGGAAGGATATTATCATCTTTGAGGAAAAGAGATGTGCCATATTGTGTACATGGTGCAATATGCACATTTTGAGTTTTGTAACGAAGGTTTAACACAAGCAAGCTGATCAAATGAAGAATAGATTATGGAAGCAATACCATTGTCTGAAGTCGCCATCAACTGTGATCTGGTGAAATGTAAATATACTATGTTTTCAATAAAGTCACTTTTATTACAGTAAGAGAAATAAATGTGGGTGAAATGCAATGGTGGTGTCGATCATATAAATGTAGGTAAATTGAAAAGACGAAAGGATTTAAAGCTCGCTGTCAGATATGCCCTTTTGATCTGTTCTACCGTTCAAAAGTTTGGGGTCAGTGAGATTTTTAGAAAGTGTCTCTAACCAATGCAGCATTTATTTGATAACGAGGTTCTTATTTGAATATTAATATATTTTAAAATGTAATTTATTCTCAGGATTACATCAGTCACTAGCTACTTTAGTCTTAAATGATCCTTCAGAAATCATTCCCATGCTGATTTGGCACTAAAGTAACATTTCTTATAATTAATGTAGAAAACAATTGTGTTGCTTAAAAGTACACTAACTTTTGGTCCCTTAGCAGTTAAAAAACAAAATGCATGTATTTTGTGGAAGAATAATTTTATTATAGTTATCCCCCTGTCAACAAAGTAAATGTGAAAAAGGTGACGTCATGCATGTGTTGTCTATAGGCGTGTAATTCTTTACAAAGTAACAATGCCAACTACTGGCCTGGCAGCATAACAGCCTTTTGTCATTTTCACAGATCCTTGTGAATAGTATCATTGACAAAGTTGTCGTCTGTACACGAAAAAAGAAAAACTTCCATTTTTAGTACATTGTGTAAACATACCCTTAGGGGACATTTATGTACCGTTACATGACACTATTTTCAACTAAAAACTTTGTTTTGGCCATCCATTTACATGACAATGTATTTTAGGGGTCTAAAAACAGACTTTTTTAAAAACAGGTTTCAAAAGTGCGAGGTTTTAAAAACAAGCATTATAGTTTGTGTACACTACAAAAACGGGGACGTCTTACGCATGCGTGTTCAGTCTATAGGAATGCGTGTGGCCAGGCTCTTTACGAAGTGACAATTGCCAACTGACCTGGAATGCATAAAACTGTCGTCATTTTCAAGGATCGGTGTGAACAGGGAGCATTGACAATGTTGTCATCGGTTTAAAAAAAAGAAAAGTTTTGTACATCGTTGTCATGTAAACGCACACTCACAAGACACCGCTACAAGGCTGCAGTTATGACCAGTTCCTGATTAAACAATTACTTAAAGGATACATTAAAAGCAGTATGTTTAAGTGTTGAGCAGGCCTATAAATGGCAAATAACACTTGAATACAGAACTACATGCTGAAAAAACAAAACAAAAAAAAGCCACAAATTTAGGAACAGATAAAACATTTATTGCTCAACTGGGTCAAAGAACTGTTTGTGTGGGCAGGAGTACTTTACAAGCACAAAGCTTGTCAATTACTAAAGTCCAGATACAGGTGGGCAAAGAATTTCATAAATGCACAAATGTAACAGATCGCATAGAAAAGCAGTAAAACCCAGGGAAATTGATACACAGAACGAAACACAGTGCAGACCACCTTTTCTTGTACACAGATGTAGAGCAGTGCCTTGCATTCAAATTCATGGAACTCATTTAAGAAATCGACTTTGTCCTGACTAAATCTAAAAAAAGAAAACGAGCACCTGGAAGAGCAGAGGGATCAAGATATTAAATACTCTGAAAAGGTACAATGAAATTATAAAAATAGATCTCGGTATAAAACGCGCTGAGTTTTAAAAAAGGCAAACTTTACAGATTCAAAAAAAATCTTGAGACATGTCTCACTTAACCCCAATTGGCAACCCATGACATCAGCACCTAAAAATATCCAACATTTTGTTGCCAAAAATTATATATTTACAAATACAGGGAGTACCCAAGGCTGCGGGGGGTGAAAGCAATGGATATATACAACAAGCAGCCGCACTCACAGCAAAGTCATTCCTTTTGTTGACCATTGGGCACTCGGCATGGATGCCATTTGAGTAGGGCTGCTTCCTTTGTTCACTGCATTGCCACCATCACGGGCTTGAATGTAGCTAGTAGGGTTGGGGAACTCATAGTGCGTCACAGCTGGGGGCAGAGGCCAGTTTCCCAGGGGTCTTGCAGTGGCCTGAGAAGGAGAGCGTGGCTGTGGGTAGCTGGGGTAGATGGGCGTTTGTTGAGGACTCCTCTTGAACAGAGGCTCTCTCACCTGAGGGTTACTGTAGTGATCTTGGTTTGCTCGAGCGGTTTCAGTCTGAAACTTAAAAACAAAACACCAAATTATGGGTAAATTAAAACTAATGATGGGTCATTTGTATCATCGTGCCTTTAAGACATTATCCAAACTACTGAAATGCCTCCTTTGTAGATGATAACTTGCTCTACGTCCACACTGATCAGTTCTGCTACCAACAAGACAGAACAAGCAACAGTGTAGACGTCATGGTTTTAAACCTGTATGACTTTATTGCTTGGATAATCATTTTGAACGTTCAAAATATCTGTGTTTGTGTTCCACAGAAAAACCTAATATATATATATAATTTTTTGTATCAATGATTATGCTTACAAACAGCCAATAACCCGTTCAAAACCGGAATATTAGCAATAACCCGGTCGACACGGCCATGTAAACACCGGCAAAAACCTGAATATGCTAATATTCCTGTTTTTAAAAACCCGAATATGATCCCTGGGTTACGCCTTTTCCAACCCGAATATTTGGTCATGTAAACGCGTATCGGCATATCCCCATCAAAAGGTACATTGATTTGTGTTCTGCGCATGTTCTATTCGCAAGGAATCTTGGTCTTTTGAGTAGAGGAACTTCACAAAAACCTGCATGCAGTATACCGGAAGTAAACAAGTAGAAGTAAACATGAGATGCAGCACAGCACCATACTTTTGGACCAGTACCAATGCGATCGCTATCTGCCCCGAACTATTCATTATCCGCGTGCTGCTGCTGTTGTTTTTGGATACAGGAAGAATCGGAAATGACGCATATTGCGTCTTAAGGTTGTCCGTACGTCCAGACGCTAAACGTGCGTCGCCGTTTACATCGGGATATTGCCAAATGATTACAAATTCCATGTATACAGGAGTAACTCTCTCTGCTTACGCATGTAAATGGGTTATTCCGAATGTTTCAGAAACCTGAATAGTGACAGCTTGTAAACGTAGTCATTGTGCCTTTAAGACACAATCAAAACTATTGAAATGCCTTCGGGAACGATAATTTGCTCTGTAAATCATTACATCAGTGTAGATATAGTTCCTCTACCAACAACACCGCAACAGAGAAACTTCGTGTCACTTTCTTTGAAAAGAAAATATTTTTTTGGGGAGAAAAACGGTGTTCGCTTGGACCCCATTGACTTAAATTGCATGGACAAAAATGGTTAAAACATTAAAGGAGTAGTTCACTTTTAAAAAAACTCTTGCTGATAATTTACTCACCCCCATGTCATCCAAGTTGTCCATGTCTTTCTTCAGTCGAAAAGAAATTAAGGTTTTTGATGAAAACATTCCAGGATTTTTCTCCATATAATGCACTTTACTGGGTACCAAACGGTCCAAGGTCCAAAAGACAGTTTCAGTGCAAACTGCAAACTGTTCAAATGGTTTTAAATGACACCAGACGATGAATAAGGGTCTTATCACGCGAAACGATCGCTCATTTAAAAAATAAATAACAACGTTTAAGTTTTATAAGCTCACATGCCCGCCTTGCTCTGTTCTGTGTGACTCCTGTTCGAACTCGTTCATCAAAATGAACAAATCTTTTTTCGAGTCATTTAACGACCGAAATGAACGAATTGACTCGGAAAAAGATTTGTTGAACGAGTTCGAACAGGAGAGTTACACAAAACAGAGAAAGGCGAGCATGTGAGCTTATAAAACTTAAACGTTGTTATTTATTTTTTAAATGAGCGATCGTTTCGCTTGATAAGACCCTTATTCATCGTCTGGTGTCATTTAAAACCATTTGAACAGTTTGCACTGAAACTGTCTTTTGGACCTTGAACCGTTTTGCTACCATTGAAGTCCATTATATGGAGAAAAATCCTGGAATGTTTATCAAAAACCTTAATTTCTTTTTGACTGAAGAAAGACATGGACATCTTGGATGACATGGGGGTGAGTAAATTATCAGCAAAAGTTTTTTTAAAAGTGAACTAATCCTTTAATATCTTTTGTGTTCCTCAGAAGGAAGAAAGATGCATGTTTGGAATGACATGGTTTGACATGAAACCGCGCTCACCTGAGAATGAGCAGCTGAGGTGTTTGGTACGGCATTAATGACGTATCTCTCGGTCATCCAACTACTATCTCTTTGATGCCTCTTGAGTTTCATCCTACGATTTTGAAACCACGTTTTCACCTTTGCAAAGAAAAAGCGTTATTCATCATGACACTAACAGCAATCCATTAAAGCTTTAATTCTCTCAACAGTCTTCAGTCTCTTTATATCACTAACCTGTTTGTATGTTAGTCCCGTCCCTCCAGCCAGAGTCTTCATCTCTGCGGGCGTGAGGTATCTCTGGACATTAAACCGGTGGATAAGAGCATTCATCTGCTCCTCAGAAAAGGCAGCACGAGTCTTCCGAGGCTGGGCTGGACGTCGGGCTGGAGATGTGGTCAGCGTGGGCAGAGGCGGCAAGGCATCCACCCCCAAATTCTGACTCACCAGCTCCTCTCCTTCAGCAGAGACGGAGTTTGAGATCGGTTGTCCGCTGTCAGGACTGCCACTATCCGTTTCGTAGTCCTGATCTTTCCAGGACGGGTGACTGAGATTGGTCAGAGCGCCCCCCTCACGACTGCTCCCTGAGCTCCAGGAATCTATACAAATGGGGGAAAATAAAAGCTTTACTTCATGGACTATGCCATTTGGTACCTAGAATTGATAAACCTTTGAAATTAAGTTTATAAATGTGCTTGCATTTCCTGAAAGTATGGTTTATACACAACAGTGTTCTTAAAAAAAAAAAAAAAGAAAGAATTGTTTGATAAACAGAAATTAAGCTGTAAAACATACATTAGATGGAAAACAAACACATTAAGATGTTGCCTTGAACTGAAATAATTTAAGTCGCCATACTAAAGTTGTTAGAAGTGGAAAGGATATAAAATAAAGAAAAACATTAACAGACAGATATTCTAAAATGTACTCCAATAACCTTTGAATTATTTACAACTTCGAAAAATCCTTTTTATTTACGTTGAAAGAGCAATTTATTACTTCTTTAGGGAATTTGGATTAAATTTGCTTTGCAATTATTTCGTGAGGCTTGATCAGAGGAGGGTTACCTGGGGTATGAGCCTCTGAGTCACTGGGTGTATCGCTGCTGGCCTGCTCTGCATCTTTGACCTTTGGATCGGGCTCAGTCTTATTATATGAGATGAAGAGCCGTCCGTTCTGCGTGTGGCTCGGGTAGTTGCCGTAGTTGCTCGCATTGCCGGTCTCTGAGCTCCAGGATGCCGACTGCTGTGTGGTTTGAGAGGAGTAATAGCTCGCGGTGACCCCGCCGGACTGAGCGTACGCGGCCTCGGCCCAGCTCAGATTCGGGTGGCCGTGCTCAGACACCTGCGGATACACGAGCCCGTATGCATACGCATGATAAGATGGGTTGAAGTTGTAACTCACTGGTATCTTCCAATCCGCCATTCCCTTGTCGGATGAACGCAGAGCAAAAAACAAATGTGCAGAGAATAGCACCTGACTACAAAAACCCAAAGGGTTTGACTACCCTCGAAAACAGATGCCGATAATAGCTCTCCTCCTCATAATCACGCAAAAAGACCCCTTGACATGACCTGATAAAAAAAAAGTGCGTGGAGAAGGTGATTTATAAGGCCAGGTGAGTGGATGTGGGCGGGGCGGATTTGCGAAGAGATGCGCAGACCAATCAGGTGCAGCTTCTGAGAGCTGGAAACCACACCCTCATTCCACATCAGCTGAGCCAGGTATTCTCACATTTACATGATATATTTGCATTTTTTCATTTAGCGTTTTACATTTTTAAATGACACAATTAGGCTATTTATTGATGAAAATTACACTGAAAACGTATTTGAAATTAAAAACTTTTGACTCAAATTATTTTGAAACTTCTATCTATATATATTTTTTTTTATTTAAAACAACTAACTCCATAAAACTCCATAAAACAGAGAACTATTAATCTTAAAAAATCAACATTAAGAAAAAACGCATTTAAAAACTGTATTTTTGACACATGTTAAAAAAGTGAGAACTATTTAATAAGCCTAAATAGAATTATTAGGCTACTTGTGATGTACGCAACACCCATGGTTTTGTCATGTAGGCCTACATGATTATAGAAAGATTATCAATATTTTAAACCTAAAAATGGGCTACATTTTTCACATTTAGTGCAGTTCCTTCTCATCCCTCTAATCTATTGTCTGTTTTAACATGTTTACCACAGTTACTTTCAGGGTAAAACTTGCCAATAATTTCTTTAGATTAGCATGATTAATCCTATAAAACATTACAAAGCCTCATGTGAACAAGTTACCCTATAAGTGCACCAATCTAGAGCTATTTAACTTTGAAAATGTGTGTGGACTAGGAATGTCTGGACTTTTTGAATGCCTTAAGCAGGTTTGCCTTACAATTACCACCTGAATAGGTGCGTTTGTAGTCCACCCATTTCTAGGCTACTGCATTAGAATGGAAATATGTCTGTATGAGGTGAAAATATGAGCTAATCATGGGGTGATTAGAGAGACCACAGATCTGTTTATGGGAAAAGAGGTGTGAAAGGGTGGGGAGGTGTGGCAGTGGCAGCAATGCATTTGCCTTTTGCACTTGTTTACCAATTCAGCAAATCAGACAAAATCATTTAGAAATTTAGACACAAGTACGGTCAATGTTTACATATTCCAGATGTGTATTATCATTGTGGTGTTTGAGTTCAACTTCAATGGCATTTATTTATTTAGTATTTTATTTATTTGCTTTTTTCCATTTTGTTTTGTTTTTAAGCATGATTTGTTTAAATTATGAGACCATTGTTGTCAGATTGTATGTTCTGTTTATTTATTTATGTTATATTTGTTTTTATTTAGGTTTTTAAACGTTTTTTGGGGGGAGGGGTTAGAAAAGGATTGGAGTTTAAATTATGATATATTTGATTATATTGAGTCAGACGATTTGTTTATTTGTTGTAGTTATTTATGTTGTATTTGTTTGTTTTTGTTTTTATTTAGGCTTTATATAGCCTACGTTTTGTTTTATTTTTTAAAGCATGATTTGAATTTATACTATTGATACCATTGCTGTCAGATTATTTATTTATATATACGTATTTTTTTTAAATAGATACCATTTAAATAGAGACCATTGTTGTAAGAGTATCTATCTATCTATCTATCTATCTATCTATCTATCTATCTATCTATCTATCTATCTATCTATCTATCTATCTATCTATCTATCTATCTATCTATCTATCTATCTATCTATCTATCTATCTATCAAGATTTGAGTTAAAATTATGATACCATTGTTGTCAGATTAGTATTATTATTATTGCTGTTTAAGAGATTTGTTTTTTCACCATTCTGTATTTATTTATTTTGTGGCTTTGTTTGTAGGCTACATGCATTCATTTAATGCAGACAGTCCTCCTCACTGATTTACAGTGGCTACTGTTTATTGTTTTCAGATTTTTTTGACTTGTTTTTCTGTAGTGCAGTTTTCTCAGTGATGATAATCGTTGTTTGCCATCTGTCCATTGCAGCTTTCTTATGGAGATTGATTCAAATGCAAATAGCCCATTAGCGCTTCATCATCTCTAGTAAGCAAGCTTCCGCCGCCTAAACATGATCCACTTCAAAACAAACAGAAGCAAAATATGAAGAACTTTAGAGACTTTGTTGCTTGAATGACACACAAACAACAACAGTTTCATTATCATGTGGTTCAACCACAGTTTTTATCTTTCTTTCACAGGTCTGTGCACAGTGAATTTCGACCTCCTTTACCACAGCCGGCGCTGTTGCCGTCAAATGTCTGTCTGAATCACATGGTTTTCAGGGCTGTGGCCCCTTTAACGTCCAACTCATGCGGCGTTTTCTCCTTCTGTCCAGCGTGGTAACTTTGGGAACTCCGCACATAAGCGCTCGTTCAGTTAAATAATATTTCCACATGACAGTTTATTTATGTTATACTAACATAGTTATCTAATATTCTTACGAGTGTCATCTGACCCAAAATATTGTGTGAATACAGTCATATTGTCAACTGCATGTCATCTGATTTGGTCTGGTGGTCGGTGTAGATTATTTGGTAATTTTGAATAAATAACGGTTGAACGTAAAACGGTGAAATGATGTCAGAAGAGCTCGAGCGCGTCCTGGTGCGGCTGACAGAACCGGACAACGCTGTTATTCAGCAGGTAGATACTTATATGAAACTGTCATACTGTGCCAAAATATGCGTTATGGTATATTTGATTAATTTAATATTGATTATATGATTTAATGGTCATTTTCAGTGTTATGTGGGGTTTAGTAACTGTTATACATGGTCTTTCTAAGCCCGTGATGATGTTTAAGGAGAGTCATTTTCTTTATCAGGCCACAGCTGAGTTGAAACAGGCATTTAAAGATCCAGCTATCATTCCTGCTTTGTGTGCTGTCATGACTGGATCTCAGAACCCACAGGCAAGTTACTGTTATTCATTATGTCAAGTTTTCATAGTCCTACTCAGAGACTTGCTTTAATGCTATCATTCTTGCTTCAGGTCCGTCAGTCGGCTGCAGTGATGCTCAGGATGAGAGTTAGAAAACATTGGAAGAAAATCAGTCCAGACCACCGAGAAAGGTTTTGGATATATTTTTCACTTATATAATTTAATATATTTTGATAGACATTTGCTAATTTGTGATTCATATGTTTTCATCCTGCTCCCTCAGTCTGAAGGCAGTGGTGCTGCAGGCTTTACAGCAAGAAACAGAGTAAGTCTGGTGGTGCCATGGTACATGATGTAATAATGCAAACTATGATAGTGTATGATAACTACGTTAACACTGTACTATGTAGTATATTATGGTATTACCATAGTCAGCTTTAAGGAACAGATATTACTAATAAACCAGGGTGTAACACATTTTGCTTTATTTTTCATGCAGGTGTTAATTTTTTTTCTTTTATTATTTCCATTCCTCAGACACACAGTTCGTCACTCTCTCTCTCAGCTGAGCGCCGTCCTGGTGAAACACGAGACCCCAGACCGCTGGCCCGCTCTCCTCACCCTATTAAACCAGTCTACTAAAAGCAATAACCCACAGGATAGACAGGTAACCCCATTTAACTTGTTAAAAAAAAGTACTGTGCCACTACCATGGTACATTTATGATATTAGATCTTTATCAAATTCATATACTATGATTTTTCATGGTATTATTTGAAGTACAATGTTCAAAAACTTGGTATTTTTTAGTAAATTCTCGACTGCAAATACTCTAATAATATTTACTAATGATTTATTTATTTATATAATTATTTTAATTGTAAAACAAATCATGTTTTTATTAAGATCGAAAAAGAAATACATTTGCTTTATATATATATATATATATATATATATATATATATATATATATATATATATATAGCCTATATTATGATATACTATATATATATATATATATTACATTTATATATTTATTAATATATATGACTATTTATTATTATTATTAAAATAAACTTGTTATTATTATATTAGTATTATATTAGTCATTTTGTTGTAAAGTATTTCAGCACATGATGGAGATGAATTGAATTTGTGTGAAAGGGATAGTTCACCAAAAAAAAAAAATTCTCATCATTTACTCACTCTCAAGTTGTTCTAAAACTGTTTGAGTTTTTTTCTTCTGTTGAATATAAAAAAAAGTTATTTTAAAAATTGTTGGTAATCAAAAGGTTGACGGTAGCCCTTGACTTCCATAGTAGAAAAAAAATACTATGGCTACCTCAACTGACTGGTTACCAACATTCTTTCAAATATCATCTTTTGTGTTCAACAGAAGAAAGTTTGAAACAACATGAGGGTGAGTAAATGATGACAGAATTTTCATTTTTGGGTGAACTATCCTGCAATCCAGCAATATACTGTCTTTTTAAAATTATTTAGCTTGTTTGCTTAATTCTCTGTACATTTGAGTTAGTTGGAATTGCTGTACCATTCTTGTCATAAAAAAACACCAAAAAAAAAAAAAAATTGTTCTGTTCAGGTGGGTCTTTTATTGCTCAGTAAGGTGGTGGGATCAAACCCAGAGCCCTTTAAACCCCACTACAAGGAACTTCTCCAGCTGTTTGGGACTGTTCTCCAAGACCTGGACAATACTACAGCTCTCTACTACTGCATTCTCACTCTTACCTCCATCACAACCTACACCGGCACAGAGGAGATGGTCTGTTCTGCTTCCTCTGACTGCTGTAATTTGCCCTTGGATATAAGAATTAGTGTTTAATACTACATTCAGCATGTTCAAAATGTTGTTTTTCTCTCTTTCAGAACCTGGTGCGATCTCTGATCCCCAAACTGCTCATTGCTCTTAAACGCCTCATTCAGGCAGACCAGGTGAGGCTGTGTTCATATGGTAATGCTCCAATCACTGTTTCCATTGTGTTACTCAATGATGTGCTAAACACTGTGTGAGTTGCGTCGCTTGATTGATCAGTTTGCCTTTATGAGCCTTTAAGTGGCCCAATGGCTTTGACCATCCCTCAATCTTTAATTTTTATCTCATAAGTTTGTTTTTTGTTCTTTTAAGGACCAGGCCAGCGAGGCAATGGAAGTTTTAGATGA